CAATAATCGGGACATCTTCTGATGTAGCTCCTCAAAAAAGCATTGCCAAAAAGCAGCGAAAAGGATATTTTTAACCATAATATACGTATAAAACCTAGGGCCATGCATATTTAATAGTAGGCACGACACCATGTACATAAGTTAAAACTCACATATAATCAACTTCCTCTTACCCTGGTTCCCCGCTCAGTTTTCTCCATTCTCATTCTAAATAAAATCCTACAATTGGATTGGGATTACGACGTTTTATCAGCACTATTCTCAAACACCACTGCATCCATCTTCAAGCAGCTCCTCAGCGATCGTGCAACCTACGATGAACATCCTTATGGCATCACACGATGATACTTTCCTGAAGCCTTTTGACATTTATTGATCCAGTGTTTCACTGACTGGAGCCATTTCGTCCGCTTTAGCTGTAAACAGTGTAGAGAAGCGCAGAGGGATGCTCGCGATTTTATCTACAGGTGAGGATTTTTTTGACTCCATCCCGAAATTCAAAGGAACTTGATCAGTGTTCATCGAGTTATTAAGCGTGATACAAAGCACTATGGCGGGTACGATGGACGTATGTCCAATTTACCATGAAGAGACAAAAACAGGTCGGTTCATCATGGAGGTGATGTGTTGATGCCAGTGTTATTTATTATCGTCCACACATATCTTGGCTTTTCAGTGAACCTGGAGATGCATGTCCTGTAAAATATACCTTGAATCTGCCGTGATGCTTCCCACATTATACGCGATCCTTGAAACTAAGGAACTTGAGCAACTTTACCGGCATTACTTTTCTGATGATGAAATTACTGAGTTGCTTTCCCTCCCTTTTGAATGATACTTTTACATATTCATTTTAGATGACCCTCGTTTCTACCAGATAACCTAGAAGCATGACAAGAACTTAACATTTAACTTCAGGTGCACTATTTGTATGTGATGTAAAATTTTCTTTCTTTCAGACTGGGGATTTCTACCACCTGGGATGAAAAGGAGATGGCGAAAGGTACTTTAAAGAACTATTGGCAAAGATTTTCCGACGTTGATTGTTATGACTGCATCTGTAAAAATGATATGCACCTGTAAATTCGGGAATAAATCGTTATTATTAACTCTGTTACGGGCATAAAACCCCCAACCGCAGTAGTTCATTGAATTCCTACTTGACTACGTGTGACTTTCTGTGTGCCAGCAGCAAGGTCTTGATGGGACTAGGGGAAACTTAGCATAAGTATGATGAGTAACACCATATTTCGGTGAAGACGTATGTTTCACAAAAACCCTCTGCAGACAACCGTTGGTCATGGTGGATGCAACTAATTTGTTGATTTCAGGACCTGAATATAGTATTTTGTGACGTTGCCTCTTTATCTGCGAAAAATATTCCTGACCGAGAAAGATAGGGCTCGGAACCAGATGAAACAGGTAAACCATTATCCTATGACATAAAAGATAGTGGCGCAAAATTATTACCGGTAATGTTTACAGGGATTTTGTGCCAGCGTGTAATATGGTACTGATAGTTATTCCTTGGTAAACAGATAGAAACCATTTTTACAGTTTACTGCATAAATTGCACGTGTCTTTTTGGCTGATAATCTCTACCTTCACCTACTGCCATCAGAAGATATAAGTGCTACATGTTTATGCAGTGAAAAATCCCAGCGGTATAAGTATGCAAGAATTTGCTACCTGGAAAGGAGGAAGTATTGTCTTCGCACAAACAAAAATCCAGAGCTTATATCTGGGCATTACATGTGTCGTCCGGAGAAATATAAAGCTTGAAGCTAATGCTTTCATTGTAAAACCTTGCGCTTTTTGATTAGGATAACGATAAAAAGTTCACGAGGGAGTGTATACGCATTGTTTATTTGTTGTACTTCCTTGATGACTTCAAAAATGTATAATGCATGTATGTTCATACCATTTTACATCAAAGACTGACAATCCCGCTAGGTATTACGACTGAGAGCCAAGTATCTGCATTTTCAACTCTGGCATCCAGAAGCAATTATTTTTGACTGAGCGCGTCAAGGAAACTTCCAGAACATCTCGATCACCATTTTCATGGGTCATGGCAACCTTTGGTCGGAAGATGTTGGACTTTCCTGGTCACTTTCATGATGAATAAGTCCTAAGTTTTGATGGCTATGAAGTTGCAGTCCAATGAACATCTTTTGTTTCTGTTTGTTGGGGTTAGGTGTTGCGAATGCAGTGATAATGACTACCCTTCATAGGAGGTAATTTCAGCCAAGGTCTGTCCCTGAATTAATTTTCAGTGAAAACCAAGCTTACATTCGGAAGCAAGCTGCTTTTCTACAACCAGGTAAAAGCAAACACAAAGCACCATGCATAACAGCCAGAACCCAATAATCTTGACCTAGACGCGGGAAATAACCAGGCCGTGCCAACTGACGCGGGTCTGACTAGTTCATGCTTTCTACTGAATAGCTTCCGAACTTCCGCGAGTGACGCACTGTCGAAAATTTCTAGATGTGCAGTCCGTATGGATGAACCTTGGAGACCTCATAGACACTCATTAAAAGGTGTCCTTTCTTCAGGTCTGGACGATGAACGGATGATCTGTTACTCACATTACTTCGTCTAAAATTCGTCAATTCTTTGGGGAGAACAGGACGTGGGGTATTATGATTATTTTTTTATTCCTTTAAGAGCCCGCTCTAGCCTGGCATCAAGCTAGCACCTGAGTAATCGGGCGACAGTGCTACGAAGGTGTAGTGACCACCTAATGCCGTGGGTCTTCCCACCATCATCGGTTCGATAATATCTATAGACCGGCTTCTCCTATGATGACTTCAGAACCTGGGAATAACGTGCTTGTAGTTGTACTCATCACGGACTGACCTTGGTCGGGGTACCGTTGCAAACCCGAGGATACAGGACAGCTGCTTTGTCCTAGTATAGGACTACTCCACGGTACGCACCCGCGACCCGGTTGGGATTGGAATTCGCTGCGGATTTCACCGTTAAGATGAAGGAGATGTCCAGTGCTTCTAAGATTTCAGTGGTTCGCCGACCAATGTCAGTCCGTGATGAATACTACCTCAAAACGAAAATCCTCACCCCTCTCAAAAATATGTCACTGCACAGTGCTCTTTAGCAACACACTTCCAGACAGGTATCACGAAGTTCTAATGAGAAGCCGGCCAGTGAGGTCAGCCAGTTGGCAGGGAAGCGGACACCATCTGAAGACCTTGTGTGATAGTCTTACTTCATCGTGGACCTACGGACTCCGAATTGGTAACGCGTTTCTCCACGACACCTGAATGTCTTGAGTTTGATTCCTGGCGGGGAGTGGTGGTGAGTGAGTACTGTCGGGGAAACCCGCACTAGGACGAACAAGCTGTCCATACTTTTAGGTTTTCAATGGTTCCCCAGCTGACATCAGTTCATGAAGAATACTACGTCAAAATTAAAATGACCACCAACCTCGCGAACAAAATATTTATTGTTATTCATTGTTGTGGACACTAGCACTTAGTTCATTATTAGGATCCACCAGACAGTTATTTGTTCTCCCTGAGCTATGTAAGTGGTAACTGCAGTAGTCACAGAGAAGAAAGTTCCACACTGTGGCAGTGTAGTGGGATTAGTGGTGAATGCTTTCAAATCGGTACTGCACATTTTCACAGATCTGTGCTTAACTGTTTACAGCCAACTCCAGAATAAAAAAGTAGTGCTGCTAAAGTAACTAAATAATGGTTAGAACCATCTGACTGTTTGGTGATGGTGAATATGGGGAGACTCAAGGGCTAGTAGTTCGTTTTTTTGAAAAAGGTTCTGCTGATTTATTGGTCAAAGCGTGAATTTTCGGCACATGAACGCGTTTTGTCTGTAATCTGTAGTTAAATTACCCACTGAGTTCAAGTCATTGGTATCCTGTGATGTGCGACGGTCCTTAAGGTGATTGTATGCGGGAGGAACACATGAGAAAACCCTCAATAGGACCTGATTGTGCCATGTCTTTGGACGGACGGTCCGTTTGTCCCGGACCAGAGGTCATCGTAGCTCTTCCTTTTTCTGGTGGCAAGTGGTATCAAATTCCATTACGCTTTCTTCTTTCGTCAGTTTCTTAGCTGCTTTCCTTTCTCAGTCAACAACTATTTTAATGCCACCAGAATACTGATGACATCTTCAGGGTCATCTCTGAATTCTATTCTGCCGAGTCTACATACCGTTTACACATCGGTTCGGTGAGTTCGATATAATCCTGAGTTGAGTCTGTTCAGCCATCGTGGTACCGGCTACACATGCCTCAGACTGTATGGCAGCCTTCACAGAAAGCTTACAGCCCTCTCTGGTGTGCGTGCCCCTGATGGCAAACGTTAGTGATCAAAATGCTACGAAAAGTAGATCATATTCCACAACCAACCACAAAAAACTCTGGAAGGCTGAAAATACAACTGTTGCCTTAAAATTTGAGATCTGCAGAGGCAACCAAAAGAGACACGCTAAAACCCTGCCGTTGTTTCTGAAAGAGTTCTTAGATGTGTGAACCACCCTTGTTGTGACGATACCCAGCCAAAGGCCAGGAGGTCAGACACGGAAAAATAACGCTTCCCTTTGAAAATAGTTCAGAGATTCTGAGTATCGGCCATACTAGTTGTTTTAAGAGTTAGTTTCATGCCAATCTGGCTAGAAAGAATAGCGTTCCTACCTAGTTTACTACCGCTTCCGCTATTCAGTTTACCGAAGAATTGACTGACTGTTCTATTTCGTACAAATAGCCACTTTCATTTTGCAGCAAAAGAACGTGACAGTGTGAATAAAGAAAAGGTCTAAGTCTCATGATTTAGACACGAGAATTCATAAACTAAGAGTTTTCATGTTAGATGAAGCTGGTCAAATTCGCTACTGTCTGCTTACAGTTCCTCAAGCCAACGACCAACTGCGTTAAGATGCGAGAGATAATTTTCAGGAAGACTGCTTATTCCATTCCAATCTTTTTGTTATTCAGGGTCTTAGTTTTAATTTGCTTGCGGCAAAGTATGGAAAATGAGTGACCTTCGCACCCGTCACAAGCAGCTATCACATGAGTAGTCTGTTATCACAAATCCGCTCGTTATTTCGTCCTGTGTCAAAAGTCCGAAGTAATAATAATGCATCTGAAGCATTTCTCAAGAGAGTCAGATTATGTCTTCTGACAGCTGTTGCTGGCTTTGATAATAAGCATACAAAGTATCAAACGAGAATTCCACCTAAGTGGGTGTATGGTGATGATGCTTGTTTCTTATCTACAACAGATTCTTCCTATGTCCTAGGTTAGTTGTGTCATATGAACAGGTTGTACAAGCCTTTCATAACCTGTGTTCATCTGTGATAATATAGCATGCTCATATATATATATATATATATATATATATATATATATAATGCGCATATGTCTAACCACTGAATTGTTATATGCATATAACAGTTTAATAGTGAGGCATAAAAACTTTAAGATCTTTCCTCAATAGTGTGTCACACTCAGTATTGGGTCATATTTCCATATGTTTAGGTTGGTAATATCCTATGTTAAGCGACTGGACTTTAAAAATTTTGAAAACTTATAAGTTTGCGTAGCGAGTAGGGCTAGTTCACGTACGTATACTTGACTAACAAGAAAGTTATTTAGCTGTGTGGTGTTAGTATCTTATTTTCAACCCTCAATAGATTCGCCAGCCTTTCAGTTTATTTATTAGGGTTTTGCCGATAAGGTTGTTGCTTAATGACCTAAATGCTGGGATTAGGGTGTCATGTGAATCCACAAACTGATTCGAAGAGAAACTTTGTAGGGCAAAGAATCCAGTAGATTCAGTTGAGTGATGTAATCTATCAAATACTATATAGTGTTGTGGGGTCAAGTATATAGGTCGAAGCAGCCGTTCGATGTGAATTAGAATAGCAGGACACAAATATTTCGCAAAACAGTGGTAGACTCTACCAAGTTAAGTTTGAAAGTCGTATGAATATTTCAATGTGAATGAGCAATAAATTCTCAAAACATCACCCAATAAATGATACTACATCAGTGTCCTATTCCAAATAAAGTCCAATATGGGATTGATTCTTATCGTGTCGAGGAACCTAGCCAGGTGGTGGTTTGGCTTGCGTAACACGTCATAGCCGCCTCAGTCGGTCAGGGTTCGAAATCTCAACTGAATTATCTGCCTTGCCCAGTGCCATATACAAAACCTCAACCTTGCTCATGTGGCTCCTCCACTACGCATAGTCAACACTAGCAATACGCTCATGTTCGAAAACCTGTAGTCTCTTCGCGTCTGCCTTTAAGTACCATATCGCATTGCTGGGTGGTAATACAGGAAGAACTGTTGTGAAGTTTGCTCGCCCTTTGATAGACAGTATGCTTTCTCACTGGCGCATGTTGGCACATGTAAAACAAACCGTTTTTGTTGTGGCTAGGATTTGGTTGCCAGTTATCCATTTGGGTGATGTTGTCTAAGCTTTTTGGCACCTCCCTTCTCTTCCTTATTTTGGGAGTATCCTCAGAGCAGTCTTAAAGCATCATCCCACATTTGACAGATGCAAAGCGAATACCAACGATGCTTAGGTCTCTGCCCAAGTCTCTCAAAAGGTCTTGGATTTTTTGAGACTTCTCACCGAACACTACAATGTTGTCTGTGTATTTGAAGTCAACCAAGTGACCTTCGGGAGGGGGGAGTAAGTCCATGTAAAGCCGAGGGTACCTAGGGTTGTGCCCATTAGCACCTGTATAACAATGGTGTAGGGATAGTGACGGTGGGTGTCCTTGATGAACACTGCTAACTGCTGTTGTTTCAGATTATAACCCTTCATAAGCCCTTGGGCAGCTACATGAGCTAGAGCATCATATTTCTGCCTCATCCCATCCACAGTCAGACACGTTTTGATCGGAAGTGTTTAAAGCCGTTCGCAGCTCAAGAAATATGACGTATCTGGCTCCGGGGTATGAATGTGTTCCAGAACTTGTTGGAGGGTGAGGATCTTGTCGGTGCACCCTGCTCCACGTTTGGAACATTTCTCTCGAGCTTGATGTTCTCAAGCTTCATTTAGGCGTTGGATAAATATAGACGGTAGAATCTTCGGTACGATTTCGGTGAAACTGTCTTTCCTGTGGATATCTTGTGAACGCTTTTCTCCCTGCTCATAAACTCAGTCGATCAGCTATCTAGATCAGTCTGGTGGAATTACCTCTGATCCACGCTTTATCCCACCCTTGAACCCGAATCATTTTAAGCAGTGCATGGTTTCATGATCTGTGGTTTCAGAGTTTTTGCACGTGAGGCCCATTGTCTGATATCGCATAGGGTTTGAACGTTGAAGTCTCTGGTGTGAAATCAGCGGAGTGGTTTTCGGAGAATCGAAATATTGCCTTGCTGGTTTGAGTTGTTGGCATCGGTCTCATTAAAAAGTTGTGGACATTATAGAAGACAATTCTGGTAGCAGAAGCATGGTAAACTTGGGGAAAATATTAAGCGGAGTAGGTTTTAGTTAGGTGGGGTTTGCTTATCGTTTGAAAGATGGAGGTGGTTGATACTTCTTTGTCCCACATTTTAAGTTGCTATACAGATGGTCGCTTTGGAAAACAAGGATCATCTGCCTGAGACTGGGAGTTTTGCAACTAGATTTGATTGCGTTACATGCATATTACGAAAAAAGCCCATACCGCCACAGGTAATACAGCAAAGATACACTTAACAACCTGAACATGTCATCCGACTCCATCTATTGTCAGGTTTTGTGACAATGTCCCTCACTGACATGCCACTTCAGGGCATCACAGTGTTGAATATTCTGTATTTGAAAACCTGTAGGGACGTTACAGCCTATGGTGAGGTATCGGATGAGTTGTTTAAGTCGTATTATGTCCAGTCAAGGATGTTCACTCCATCCATTTTTTAGCTTTTTTATAGGCGTGCTTATGACGGTTTCCCTTTTGTCTGACTTCACGAAAACTGACCTAGAGTATGCAGATGATATATTCCTGGTAGATGAAGACAGTGACAAGATGCAGTCTTCGGGACACCTTGAGTTGTAGTTTGAGAATGTTCGGGATGCGTTTCTTACCACACAGGTTCAGATTGTTGCTGTAGGAGTTATTGTGTTAGTGCTCTACATAAGTGGCTTAGTGGTTCAGTGACCTACGAGGTCTCCGCATGGATACAAAAGGTTTGCTTGGCTTTCGCCATCCTACTCCATTTGTCACGCTACTGTTGTATCCGATTGCCTATTATTGGCTGAGTGTACTTTGTTACAGTTCGCTATGTTCTGCTATATGACTGTGAAACATGGCGAATAAAGGTGGAGGACGTAAGAAGTTTTCAGATGCTCGATCACTGTTGCCGTTGTAGCATAGGACACGTCATAATGTTACTGTTTCAGTAAAAGCTCAAATCTCAAGAAAGCTCTATCAATGAAAAGTTTGTGCATTGTGGAATGGATTAATGTATGTATTATAAGTAAATTTTCAATGAAAAGTTTACTCACAATGATGTTTTTTCTTGGTAATATTTTAAGCAAAACTACTTCTGTTGATCGCACCAACAGTTGGAATGTTTAGCAATATTCATTCCAAGTTTTCTCGAACACTTTTTACAAGGGGCCCATGGTACGTTCGACGTACTCATTTCTACTGGAACAAGTAGACCAGCATACATACATTGATGTAGCCTAGTGGATCAGCTTGTGTTACTCCTGTGGGTTTAAATACTTCGGACGTACCATACGCCCGCTTCTAAAACTTGCTCAAGAAAATTCCATTTTTATATTTTTATTAGAAATGTCAGTCAGTGAAACAATATCATTTACTGGATAAAGTTTCGGATACTATTTATTGTCCATATTCATATCAGGTAACCCCACAACTTTAAAACGGAGACAGATTAGTAGTCCTAATACGATAAGAAATTTAGAAAAAAGCTCGGCTATAGTTCTACACGCAATTGCACATTCACACAGGGTGGGATAGAGCGACAGCGTTAAAAACTTAATTGGATGGAGGGAGAGATTTATAACCTAATCTTTGTTCATCGAATCCACACCGAATACATTCAGTAACAGGAGTAATTCTATACCTGTCCCAGATATGGAAAATCCTACTACCGTTGTCATTACAAAGGAGAGGAAATTAGGACTAAATAAACTCTGTCTCAAAGTTATGGAGTCATCTGATATGAATATGGACAGTAAATTGTGTCCGAAACGTCATCCAGTAAATGCTACTGTTTCACTGTGTGACATTTCTAATAAAAGTACTAAAATGGAATTACAATCTACCAGTGTTCAAGTTTTACTCCTATACTGCTCAAGAAAACTCAGCCTAGCTAACAGAGAGAACGGAAATATATATGCAGCTCAGTAATCGAACACTGCGGAATCAGGTCACTTATCTCTTTTTGAAAACCTCAAAGATCCTATACAAGATTCGATTAAGCCACTAAAAGCGAATGCGATCAAACCATTAGGGTATTTATGAATCACTAGTCATCCAGAAGTTCAAACCAGTGGTGTGCCGAAAAAGTACATTCAGTCTTTGTCCTTACCTTGGCCATTATCAAAACTTGACTGTCCTAAATAATTCCTGTGTTACTTATTTATTTACTTTATCCCTTGTTAATTTTTTCTACTCTAATCCTCATTTTTACTACATAACTTCTTGTCATTCAATGTTTCGTGAATATTTTGTTGTTTCAAGTAGTAAACATTTAAATCATGAATTACTTTACTTCATTCATTTAACTTTGAGTTGCATTTTTGCAATCACCAGGTGTTGCTGATGGTGTTGGTGGTTGGCGGTCATATGGAGTTGATCCTGGTCGATTTTCTAGAGCTGTTATGAAGAATTGTGAACGTCTTGTAAATTCAGGCCGTTTTATGCCTGATAAACTGGAGTTCCTAATAGCTCAATGCTATGAAGATGTTCTGAACTCTAAGGAAATTATACTGGGTATGACCAAATTTTTTATTATCCTTCTTTATTTATCTTGCATATATTTGGACGTAAACATAAGTTCGGTATTTACCTTAGTGACTCGCAGTAGAATCCAAGACACTTTTCGTCCTGTTTGCGACTTGTCAACTGGATACACCTGCATCCCGGTGAGTGATGTTCCCACTGAGACTCTAACCCTGTGCTCATCGCTTCAAACATGAAAGGGCTATCCACTCGGTCACTGGGGAGCTAAAATAAACACATCATGAATATCCGGTAGTATCGAGGTATAGAATTCCATCTACCCACACAGGTGGAACAGTTGAACCCTGAATAGCAACGAGAAATTACAAGTATCAAAAAACGATAAGTTTGGTATTCTCTCCCTAAAATTCATTGAAACAAAAGGTGTTTCACTTACCATCATCTATTCTGATGGTCTGAAAACAAAAGGTAACATTAAGGAAACAGGCTTCTTTGGTCAAACCCATTGTTTCTGGTGTCTCAGCTTCATTTCATAGTAAGATATTCACATTTATTCAACCGTTTTACTAAACTGAGGTTACACTAAGAATTTGTCCTAAGAATTTCTTTCTTCTTCTTTCTTTACTTTACTGGGTTTTATTACATTCATTAGTGAATTTTGTCATGGGTTATTGGTATTTACACTATGCATGTTTGTCGTATAGTATTTTTCCTAATTAACTTCTAAATTTATTTTTAACACTTCTGTGAAAGAGAAAGCTTTCCTTTCTAATTTGGTTCAACTTTATGTTGAGTTAACGATAATGATATGTAAATGCGAAACTATTCATTGTAGTTATAAAGTAATGATGCAATAATAGATGCAAGTTTAAGAAAAACGTTTAGTATGGAATGGACAACAAAGTATATTTTTTGAGTTCCTCGTTGCGTATTGAGTTTTGAAGCACAGATATTGAACCTTTTTATATCCCAGGTTTGTACTCTGCCTAGTCAAGATGTTCTATGACAGTTCACATAAAAGCGCATGCTAGACATATGGAAACATTTATTGACAACAGGGCATGTGTTAAGGTAAATGTACTACACAGCAGGATGGTGAGAAAACTGATAGAACACTAGAATAAATTGTGTACATGTGTGTCATTTAAATGGCAAGAGACTAATTGGCTTTTGCTTATGCCAAATTCATGTGCAAATTCATAACACTGAGATTTCCGTCTTCGGTAACAATCGTTTTTGATTTTATTGCCTGTTCACTGACGAAACTTGAGGAATGTTATCCTAAGAAGTGAATATGCTTATTCTTTATAGTGTCTATGTACTTAATTAAGGGGATACAAGAATTCGCGAAACTAAGACAATGGATGATCAGTTTTTGGTAGATGGATATTTCACTTTGTTGCGCAGTAACATTTAGTCTTTGTAGATATGTGCAGGAATAACTATTGAGGGTTTCGCATATAAATTGGGTTACAGTTCATTGATCTGGGTGCTTTCCTACCAACCATGAGTTTGAGTTCGTACTCCATCGACTTCACTTTGAGCAGCTGGGCTTAAAGCTTGACACTAAGCATGATTCATTAAGTTTACAAGTTTGTTTAAATTGTAATTAGTGGCAACCGTTTGATGTGAAAAAATTACGAATTTGACTGGTTACATATCTCTTTGTATTAGAGTATTTTGTGTTCATTCATTTTTTCATCAAATTCATTCATTTTTGTTCTGATTGTTACAGGAAGTGCAACTTTATGCATTATATCATTACAACGTAATGAACATAGAGTATATGGTGCCAGTTTAGGCGACAGTGGTTACCTGGTTATACGTGATGGACATGTGATTCAACGTTCAGTTCATCAAAAACACTCATTTAATACACCATTCCAATTGGCTTGTCCACCAGTAGTTCATTCAAGACACTTTCATCGTGACTTGTAAGTTCCAGATAACTTTTTGATTTTAAGTTGAAATTGGAATTTTTCTACGTCCTTGAAACGACCATTCTAAGGTAGATAAACAGCTTGGTAATTCGTGATGGAAAATATTCTGTTAACTTGGAATATAGGAAAAATGGATTTTTAGTTGTTAGGACAGGAAATGACAAGTTTATTAAGTGCACAGGAATTAAGAATACGAATATCCGGTAGGGTTTAAAAACTGAAATTCATGAGTTAAAATAAGGCGTTAGGATTTATCTTTTAGACTTTAAAAGTTAAGTTTTGCTGCTAAGTTATAGTTGTTAGATCTGTTTTATGAAGTAATAGAAATCGTTAAATGATTTGTGAATAAACGTTGAGTTAGAGTTAGTGTTATGGTCAGGTATTAGGCTTCACGTACTAACCTTAGTTCTCATTCGAAAATTCCACTATGAGAAATGTTTAACTACAGGCAACTAAACAGATTTAATAAGCAGAGTAAAACAGTTTGTTACCACTAATTTTTTTTTTTTGATTTTACCGAATGTATTCATAAACAACACAGCTGGGACTCTTATTGGCTGAAAAGCAAGATCGGTTCTGGTATTTCTACAGCTTATTTTGAGTGGTTATCTTTATGGACAATATTATTATTTTTGTGAGGACATAAGATTAGAACATTTGGATAGAAAACCTTCGGCCTCCCTACATGATGTTAGTTGTTTAGCTGTCTTTTATGATATTCTATACTGGGATTTAGAAGTGTTTTGGGTTACGTATTTTGAATAACAAATACATTTTCTGGACATGCAGTATCTTTCCTTTGGAGCGAATATAACCAAGCGTTTCAAGTTTTATTCCTCAATTTCACTACCTAATTCTGTTAGAGCAAAGGCAAATTTCTTTTTACATATGCCTTCATATTATATACATCGGAATCAGACAGGATTAAACTTTCTATCAGTATAATTATTCGTACAATCTCTGAGAAGTTTAACATTTGTTTTGTGTTTTTACTCCTTTTATACACTTTTACACATTGTTTAGTCTGCCACCACCTATGAGGCACTTTTATACGCTGATCTTCGAATTCATTTAATCGCAATAGAGTAGTCTAAAAGCCTGCCCATCATTCTGTTCACTGGCGTCATTTCTGGTAATGACTCTTACCAGCTCAGTTGCAAATTATTTACGGATTGCCTTTTACTTGTAGAAATTTGTAAAATTTAGGTAGTTTTCCAATAAGCCAACAGTCGTAGACTGGGTTCTACCATTAACCATCCAGTCAAAATATCTGTTACAAATATCTGTAACCGGTCCAGAAAAGCTGCGATACTACCTGATTAGTCGCACACTGTGTGTAAGAGTATGTTTAATGACTTGGCTGATTTCGTTTAGACTCTCAAGGAAGTGCCGAGAACTTCATGCGAATTTTTAATACGTCTTGTGCTTACAGAACTTCCTCACTGTCCAGCCTAATACATGAATACATTTAGTTAATTACGTTATTGGTAGATTCACGTACGGTTCGCATTATTTCTTTTCCTTCTTTTCATACTTAATCTCTTACCACCGTCATACCTTTTTAATGTTGAACTAGAATAATAAGGTTTACACTTCACAGATGGATCTTGTAACGTATAGTAGCGTATTGTTTGAAAGAGTCATATCCATGAAGTCAGAAACACCTGTTCGATTTGTTAATTGAAACTCCTGCAAGAGACAGGGGGAGTCACCAGATTTCTTCTACTTGAAAGCGATGTTATTCGCTATTGATTTTCATGATGATGATAATCAGTGAGGTGTTGTTCACTATGCAAGCTTCGTCCTCTCACTGCATCGTTCTAAACTAAGTGGTTTCGTTTTCCAGTAAAATTCAATACACCTGGAATCTATCCGATTGTTGTTTAAAATTCCAGTTGTTAAACCAAATTTTCATTCTAGACACTTTTTTCCCAATCAGTTTTTATTACTCTTGGATCTACAATTCCTTTGTGCCGCATCGATAAAGCAAACTGTATGGATAGTGTAACAGTGGTTGTGCTTTGATCGAGAAACCTTAATGTATCACATGTTATCGGTGGCTAAATTTTTCCTTACGACATACCAGTCAAAAAATATTTTCCAATTTCTCTGGTCTTTTTGTCTAGTTGCTATTCTTTTGCTTCCTGGATTTTGAAGATATCGGTAACTAAATTAATAAACAAACGTATGTGCGTGCGTGCCATAAGCAGGGCTTCTTTGTTTGAGTATCCTTAAACATTCAACTTTCAATTTGCAAATGTTTCTTTAAAACGGAGTGAAATCTATTGAAATTAGTATGAGGCAGTGTGACACTGTTTTCAGCAGAAAAAATGATAACCACCAAATTCCATTAGCCCAGACTCAGGTCTTCGTAAATTGTTGTTTTTGGTGCAGAATGATCCAATGCTTTGTACTTTTATTTCTTCATAGGCATCTTTAAATTTATTCTTGATAATTGTTCTCGTTGATGATATCAGATATCCAAAAATGATCGTTAACCTTTAGATTTTCAGTGTTTATACAATAGTTTTCGTAATTATGTTCAGATTTATAAAAATTATCACTTGTGATCAAACCTAACATTTTGAATTTCAAACGTTTAAAATTTTTCTGAGTGTCGGGTTGGTCATATGCAGTGATTCCGCTGGAAATACTACTGCAGTTACAAGCTTTTCATTGTGCGTGAACAGTTATTATTTATCCAACTATGTAATACATTGAATAATCTACAATGTGTAGACAGTTTTCTTCATTTCTAATTTGCGATGTAAAATTTTCATTTGTCATACATCTTCACACATGCATTCAAAATGATTTGTCCCCTGAGCCGAGGTTTTAGCTGGCAAATACTCCAGTGCCATACTAGACATCGTCATCAGTGCATCAAGGATTCACAAAAAAGTGAAGTGATTAATTGGGCATTGATATTTATAACCTGCCTAAGTGTAATCTGATTGCTCGTTTGATGAATACGTGGATGTGTGCTGAAACTTATTGGGTGACTTTCTGCCCCCAGGTTTCTTAGGGGAGTGCGCAACTGTTTAATTTCTTCAGTTATTTCGCAGTACATCTCGTTCTCTTCGTTGTTACTGACTGGCTTTTTTGTTCGAATGAATGATAAGGCCCACTTTGTTCTCATTGCTTGGCATTTTGTTTTACTGAACTGGTGGTTGTCTTGATCTCATTGATTGACTCGTGACTGGTTGATTTCATCAACTTCTTCGCTACTTCTAGTTGCTTAGATTTTACTGGAGAGGGGGGATTCGTTTTTTAGTGACTGGTTAAGCACAAGAGTTTAGTTAGTTGTACATGAGTTATTATCTAATTGACTGATGACCCCCTTTTTGTTTGCATCGAGGGTTTGCTTGCATTTGGATCGATTGGTTCATGTAACTGATATATATTTTTCAAACAGGCGCGTATACGGAGTTCAAGTCGATGTGGCAATTTATCGCTTATTTGTTTGAGTGCCATGCCTCAATGAATTCTCGGGAAACTTTTGAGTTTGCACGTTCGAGTGTTTCGAAGGTGTCCCATTCAACCAGTCGGCTTCAGCATACGCCGATGCACTCACCAAGCGGTCAGTTAGATTAAACTCAGGTCAAGTAGCAGGTGATAAGTATTCACGCACAAGCAATTACTTCATTTCCTTGATATCCTTCTGCACTGATGACGATGTCTAACATGACACTGAAACGTTTGCCAATTAAAGCCTTAGCTTAGAGTAAAAATTACTCTGAACATCAACACCCAAAGCCATAAATATTTACGACTATATATATTACGGTGCTAAACAACTATCACATGTCGTTATGCATTTCATAATGATAATAAGCTTACGTTTTGGCAGAATCATTAAATGAATAATGTTTAGAATAATGCTAAAAGCAGTAGCAGAATGTAAATAGATGAGTGACGTTGTGAACCTGTATTCATGGCATGTTCGAAGCGCGTCCTGCACATGTTTGACAGCTGCAAGTGCGATCAGAGAAGTTTCTAGATAGTCGGAACAAAACAATGAAACCAGCGCGAGAAGTTTGACTGGCCTAAGTTTCATGAAGCTGGGTAAGTCTATAGTTGAATAAGTTATGGGACATTTTTCAAAATTTATCACACTGATGCAGACAAACCACTTTATTTCTGTCCAAATCTTGAGTATTTTATTGTCCAGTGTTTTTTTACCTCCTTTTCATTTTTTTCGTCTGTTTTATCGACTACTATTGGTTTCATTACCTTCATTCTTTCGCTTCTCAGTCAAGAAAGTCCTAGATAGATATTACATCTCACCTTTAAATTCTTCAATTTCCTCTGTGAACAAAGATTCAAGTGTAATGCTTATCTTAGCACTGTTTAATCACTGAGGTTGAATCCAATGATCAATATTTTCTAGCTTTAGTAAAGTATTGACACATCACAATTACCTTTCACTGTTATCGAATATATAGTGTGATAGTCATAGAAACTCGCCAAAGATGATACAGTACAGAGCTTAATAACTGTATATATTTATCACCAAAATTATTTACTAAGCTTTAATGGGTAGCTCATTGCTTTTCAGACCATACAATATTTAAAGGTCGATATTTAGTTGTTGACTACTCAGATGTTCATGTCAAAGAAGTGCTATAATTCTCCATGTTTGTTGATTTTTATTATTATTCAAAATAGCGTTGTTCAACTTGGCTTGCAATTCAGACTTTTAAATCGGATTGAAATCAGATGACAAGTGACCTGAAAAATTACTACATTGTTTACAAAAAGAAAGAAGAATAGGATTTATAGACTAAAATAAATTTATTTTGCTGAATCTCTTCTTTTCAGCCACTTATAACGGTTATATATATATATATATATATATATATATAATGTGTGGAATAAAATGGCTCACATACCCGTTATTTAACAAGACAAGAGTATACATAATGTAGTGATTAGCCAGTTAATTGTCGGTATTTCGTATAGCAATGATGATGTTTTATCTACTTATAGGTAGATAGATGGGAACGAAATGAATGAATGAAATGCACGTTCGTGCGGTAGGCAACAAGCCATATCTATTGTGTAGGGGCATATGAATACTACCTGGCTACTCAAACCACCTCGGTAGGTTGTTGCTATGAGATGAATAGAGTGTTGCAGCTCATTTATTTGTGGAGTTGACTTTCAACCAGTGGGTCACGGGTTGGAACATCCCTTCACCTACCGAGGTTTGGGCAACCAGGTAGCATCATCAGCCCTCACACATTAGACGTGGCTTATTGACTACCGCACAGATGTGCACAAGTTGGCTGAGTGGATTTCATCGCGATTTATGGAGATGAATGGCGGATTGTGAAACTTGAACCTACCAAATTATTCTGAACAGCCACTTATTAAAAGATAGAAAGTATTTGCCATGCTCTTCAGGTTTTAGTGTTTTATAAAGTATTAATTATTATTCGTAGTGTTTATAAGCTTACTCTGTATGAAGGAGTACGTCACATCCCACTGTGTTCACTAGCTTGCATGTATGCGTTGTTGATATATATATATATATATATATATATATATATATATATATATATATGGAGAGAAAGAGATAGAGATAGATCATTAATCGAGATGTGTACTTGAGGGTGGTGGGATATCTACCCAGTTGGTTAAAAAAGCATCTGAGCCCACAAATACCAATAAGTGCAGGTGTGAAGACGACCATCATCTATCAGAAAAAACATTGTGAAAGGTCATAGAGTGGACATTAAAGCAGCCTTTACGATATTGTATAAAAATTATCAGAGGAATATACTTGGGTGTGTTAGAGAGCTAGCCATAAACTGATTCAAGTCACCCATGTGTGTTCAAAAGTAATTTCTGTTTACGCCAAACTTTTCCTGATAATATTTATCGATTCTTATCTAAGGCTAACTTCAAAACTTACTCTTCTATTACATTTCTTATTATTATATTCCTTATTATTGTGATATTTGTTTTATTGAACATTTTTTGATTTCTTTTTCTCTTATACAATGCCTTGACAAGCAAATCTGTGATCAGATTGTTAGAAATGTATAATACTTAGTGAATCATATTCTTCCGATAAAATACATTTTTGAATTACTTTATCGAAATTCAGTTTGGCAATTAACTGATTGGTTAAAGCTCGGATTTTTCAGGTTAATTTCAGATCACTGTTTTAAGCTGCCATGCGAAGTACTCAAAAACTCCATTAGCTCCAACTTAAAGCAGATTTCTATCATTAGGGTTATTACTATTATTAATAGTGTCATTATTAAAGTAGGCGAATACAGCATAGACATAATGTAAAACTTCATGAAAACTGCACTGGCTCAGTTTATTGTTTAGTACAGTACAGTAGTAATGGCAGTTATAGGCCGTTTTTCATAATCGCTTTATTCCCACATCTACCACTAAATGTTACTTTAGCAGCTAGTGTCTATCGTGGTTATTTCTTACTAATATTAATTTCATAGACCTAATCAAGCTGTTCAAACTTCTGTAGAAGTTAAGCCAGGTGATGTAATCATCGTGGGCACAGATGGATTATTTGACAATCTGACTGAGTCAATGATACTACAAGAAGTCAAAAATGTTGAAGTAAGCTCCTTTTTTAATCATACAATTTCACTAGCTTATATGTACATTATTTATGGGTTAGTTTTTCGTGTACAAGTTTTAAAAATCCATTTCACTGACATTTGGGATTTTCGGCTAGACATATTTGTTGCATAAATGATTGGGTATTGTGAATGTAACTTCAAGTTGGAGGCTTTCGTTGGGAATGATAGATTTCAAAAGTTTAGAGGTTAGGCTGTTAAGGTGAAAAGAGAATTACATTGGTACCAGGATTTCTTAGAGGTGAAATTCAGCACAAGTGAGGTTTGGCTATTCAAACTGAATCGGGATTCGAATTGAAAAAAATAGCGATCCACTTTGCAAACTTGGGCGTTTTCTCGCAGTAGGTAATGAACTATACCTATTGTGTGATGGCTAATGATACAACCTAGCTGCCTAAACCTCCGTAGTTGGAGTGATGTTCGAACCCTTGACTCACTCATTGAAAGTCAACTGTTTAGACCAATGGATCACAACTTCACACTTATTAATGTCCATTTGTCAGCTGTTCACATGACGAAAAAAAATGAAATATTTCGAAGAGGTAAGTGTTGAAGCATATCCACTGTTTCAGTGATAGTATGTTGGTGTAAAATGAAAATCTTTTGAGTACTTTGTGTAAATATGATAAGTTGAATAGGCTCACATATCTTAAACGCTGTTATATACCTCTGAATTTTAAACTATTTTTCAGTACCGTCTAGTTTTATGACGAGTGGATGAATGGTGTATATGCCAGGGGTTAGTTCAAAGTGGTTAAACTAAACATTCTAGCTAAGTTACTGCAAAGTTGAGGTGAAGAAAAGTACGAAATACAAGGACGCTACTAAACTAGATAAGAATAGCGACTGTTCTCCCTCAGACCTCATACTTCACTGAACCTCGAAAATCAGAAGATCTGTGATTGCAAGGAAGACAGGTTTATTTGACAAAAACATGTCATTTTTGTGCAGTTTCTTCTCAGAATATAAAGCCAGTAGGTCAGAAGTTAGATGCTTATTTTCATTGGTCATCAGAAGGACAAAATTGTCTAATAAGGTTTTCCCTACCCATTCATTAACGTGGAACAAGGTTGAAAACGAAAACTTCTAACTTAGCTGCTGATGATTTAGAGCGCTGATTTCGATTTAGGCCGCTTCTTATTAAAAGTACCTACTGGAACTAGAAGATGAATTATCAGAAAAAGCATTTGTTATGCTTAAAGTCTGACATATGGTAAATATTTTAAACTAGTTGTCTGTTCTTTGACAAACGTTTGCCTATAAGCACAAATTAATGGTTACTTTTTCGACCATTATTTAATATTCCACCATAAAAAAGTAACGAATATAAAATGGGGGGTTTTAATGAATTCACAAATTTCAGTAGTAATCGTCAGCTGGATACTCTACATAACTGATTATGTAAACCACTTAGCAGTGCTAAAGAAAAGGGTGCAGGTTGGTTAGACCCAGACGTGATACTAGTCCACGAAGTCCTTAACTGTTGGCTTGAGCCATGTGGGGAGATGTAGACTGCCTGATTGAGGTCTGCAAGACGAAAGGAATCAGTGGTTGAGGATACTTGGTGACATTGTTAAAAATCGGTCACAACGGCTCATGAATTCACTCCTTGACATCTAAAGAAAGTTTGAATATTTATACTCACCGTTATCTTCATACTGTTTATTTTCTTACACTACTTTATCTTGTTTGATATCACTCTTATTTTATCCATCCCTTCTTTGTATACTTCTGTGAAGTGTAGCAACGTGAGCCGATGTACTTGCCAGGTTATACGTTGATTTTATCTGTCAGTCAGTGCTAAAGAACATGCATACATACATATATAACATAAACTGAGACATAAGTTTAGGTGTAACAACATAGAAATGAACAATTTTCGAAGGTCAAGAGGTAATGTAAAAGGTAGGAATGGGTGTTCAAATTGATTACATAATTAATAATGAGTTTGAATAGTATCGCAGTCTAAAGTATCATGTGGACTTCAGGTAGAGAAGCAATGGTGATCATAATAATGTGGACACAGAGTTAAGAACTGATTCGGTTGAGGGTAGCTTACGTCATTTAGAGCAAGGTACTTAGTGGTTTTGTTTAATCAGACATAGTAAAGAAAACCAGGTGTATGTTGAGACGAATAATACTAATAAAGTTAACTTACTGAAAGAAGTCAGGAAAGAAAAGCAAAAAATATAAGATAGGTGACAATTGAGAGCAGAGAGCAGGTAAGGAGGAGTGAATATGCTAAGACGACGTTGTAATTCGTACCATGGCAGATTCAAGCTAACTGCCATTTCTTTTTGAATGCAGAGGTTTGGTTTGACAACTGGAGTCACACAAGCTTCTGCGATTGGAAGTAGTTTCTTATTCTGCTATCTACTGATAATTGTAAAGAACCTACAGGTATCAATATCAGGCCCATAGTCCATTAGGTGTTTCGTTTTCAAGCTGTTCGGGGTCTTCTTGTCGGGATGCTTCAGCCATTTGCGTAAGTGCTCAGCCGTTCGGGTGGACAGGCACCTCTGCGTACGACTATTATATTTGCTTCCGAAGATACATTCGAATTGATATGTTCATTTAGATGTGTCGAGAATCAGAGCCCAGTCTTTCCCTGATAGTTACAGTACTCGTTTAATGGTGCTAAAGAACACGAGTTTAGCAGCTTAATAAGTCATTCTGTGATAGACTCCTCCAGTCTTCACCTAACTATCTCTAGCGCTTCATCACCTTTAAATGGCGATATAGACTAGCTTTTTCTGTACTATTGGGGACGTTGTTCTTCTTCCTACACATTTTGCGTGCTTGTTGATAAGGGTTTCTGTGCTGTTACGCCTAAATAGGATGTCTCAGCCCATGTTGTATATGTATGTTCTTTAGTATTGATTAGTTGTATATATAATCAAGTGTGTAGAGTATCCAGCCGACAAGTACTACTGAAATCCATGAATTCATTAAATCCCTTTTTTCACATTCGGTGCTCGTTTTGAATTTGTATCGAGAAAGAAATGTTTTCAGTTCAATCGTAACAAAATGATTTTTTGCCATGGATTCAATTATAATAAGAGCAGTTGCATAGCACCTGTAGTTGAAGTATGGTAAGAAAGGGAGAAAATGTGGTTTATTGATTTAAGCACTTGATTTTCAACCAAATATCCCCGGGTTCAAACATAGCTCCACTAACTTCGACCTATGCAAACAGGAATTACCATAAGCACTCACACAAGTGTGGCTCATAGCGTAGTACGCAAAACCTGGTCTGTTTTGAGTTACTTTATTGTATTATTCGAAGGAAAAGGAGATATAATGTTCATCAACCGGAGGATATCTGTACTGTAGGTCGGATGAAATAGGTGTTCTGATGTGTAGCACTTTCACAAATGGTGTACGATCCTGATAGGATTCATTATCACATCAATTCAGAATAGTACCAGTTGTTTTTGACTGTTGTTCAGAGACACTTAATCCTTGTAATGCTTTTGAGTTACGAAGTGTCTTATTGTTTCAGTCATCGTTATGTGTATGAATGTCAGACAGCTAAAAGGATTACCTTTTTACTAGCTTCATTTTCCCCTTGCAGATGGTTCGAAGTTTCACTATGCATTCTACAACTTCTGTCAGGGTTGAGCTAATTTTGTGTCTTAAAGCTTAAAAGCATGTGGTTTTCGCTTATTTTCCGCGTCAACAGGTGCAAATAAGCCTGCAGAAACGGACCTAATGAGCTGCTTTGTGTTCTACTTATGTAAAGGGTGAACGCTGAGATCGACTGATATTCTGTAACAGCTATTTAGGCAGCTTCAAATGAATAGGGTGAGGGTATACTTTTTGGTTTTTCACCCTAATCACTTATTATGCCTATGAATTAGTATATAAATTGTAGAAATGCCTAGGCAATGACTTCTTTCTTTGACATGCGTTGATTAAATTCAGAAGATATCTGAAGAAACCATATGGTGGTCATAATTTGACTTTTTGTTGTGGAAAGCAGTTAGTGTGAAGCTCTTAGCCCTTCCTAATAAAGATTGAGATATTAAGAATGTTGGATAACTTGATTAACAGTGAACTACTTCATGAGTGAGCGTACTCAGTCTTTACTTTGTCCAATTGTTCCATAGTCACAATTTTCCTACACTTATCTATCATTTCTTCTTCGATTGTTATTTCAGAGTTTGGGAACTGGAAACGATGAATTAGTGTGCCAAATTTCAGGTTCTTTTATCAATCAGTCAATAATATGATTCTTACTACATTATAACGAGCGTCACATAGTAATTCTTTCGTATTGCAAGATAATCGGATTGATATTCTATACCGATCGTATTCTTGATGTTATATCCGTTGTTTTTGCACTTTTCTTTTAGTCCTTTTATTGTATGCTGCTGTTTACTTTGCCAGATAAAAGAGTTATCTTCTCTCCTATCTGAGAATTATTCTTATGTTTAGACTTTGTCTTTCATTAATTCCACACCCGTTTCGATTTATTTCGAAATCCCAAGTAAGTAACTAAGAAGCAAATAAATCAGTTTGTTTGGGAGGATTTTGAATACTTAACGGATAAAAGAATTAGTAGATACACATTATTAATTATGAATGGATAAAATTTAAAAAACAAATCAAGCACTACATAACTATGGGGCATAATGTCAGAGGAACGTAAACATAAAAATTATAAGACATAAATCAGAAAATGAAAGATGCGAAATGAAATTGATATAGAATATGAACAAGTTAATTGACACATGTAGGTGATTTATATTTCTATGTCATTTGCGTGCCTCTCCATGCTTTTCAACTAGGAGTGACTTCATTCTCCATCTTACATTCTTATACATATGGCAGCAGTCTAAAAGATTTACTTAAGGAGGCAATCAAGCGGTTAAAGTTCAATCAGAACCTTATTACAACTCGACCAGATAAGAGTTGTGTAGGGTTATTAGACGATAGGGTGAATATGATTTTAGCGGATGAATCTAATTTTCAGAAATTATGAGATGCTAAGGATATGACCCTGAAGAAAGAAGAGGAAATAACTGGTTCCCCTGAAAGTCACTGAAAAGAAGACAAATTATTTCACCCATTGAACCCTGGAGGAACTAATATTCTCAGACTATACAGTCTACCTAAAATTGCGTAGAGACCACTGAAACCAATTCTAGGTATATGCAAATCACTATACCACATCGTGGCGAAGTTCTTTGCTCACTTACTCAAACCAGTAAGGAAAATATCATGCGGACACAGCTTGGAAGATGTTTTCGGATTTATTGGCATGGCTAAGCATAAAAACATAGAATCGAGTTATGTTGTGTGTGCATATTACTTGACTGTTCATGAGTGTTCCACAATTAGAAAGGGTTAATTGTACTTGAGAAATTATTACAGAAAACAGACTAAACACTGGTCTGCCTGTATGTGACCTGAAAGAATTGTTGTTTTATTGAACGCTCAATGATCAGACAGATAGATGGAGTAACAATGGGTTTATCACTTGAGACATGAGGTGTTCATGTTAAAGTGGAAAAATTGTATTTTGAAGCCGTACTTACACAGATTCAATAGATACTTATTGGAGACATGTGGACGATACTTTTGTTATTTGCGAAACGATGACCAATGTAAATGAATCGCTGGTGAATTTTAGCAGATCACATTCGCCGTATGTCTTTCGGACTGGCTCAGGTGGAGGCCATCTGAAGTACTTACCTCCAACCATCCTGGAGTGGAAAGTATTCATACTTTTATAGTTCTGTTCCACCATGGCAGAAGAGGGACTTGGTTCGGTGTATGTTTTAAAGGACAAAGGAAATTCGCTCTAATGCTGCAATACATAAAGAGTTACGAGATTTGATGGACACATTCAGGCTAAATGGATACTCGAAAGTTTTGTTAGAAAGGAGAACTGATAAGCCAATCATCTCAATCTGTGGCAAGCACGAAATATTCATCAACCTTCAGTTTAAGGTTACTATAATGTAGCTGAAATTACTTCAAGTAGACTTCAAAATTCATGCAGCCACTCTGAGATTGATATTCAGCAACAAATGTGTCTTACCACTACATCTGAAAGATGGGATTTCTCATATACTATATATGCTACATAAATTCAACTGCTCATATGGTTTCATCTACTTAGGAAGGACCATGAGAACCTTTGCATAGTGTGTGAAGTAACATCTACCAGTATGGCTAGCAAAATGAGAGATTAAGAAAACTGCGAGTTCTGTCCAGTCTCACCTAATTGATGCTGATCACAATGTCGGCATTAAGTATGCTTTTCCAGTCATGCTCTAGATCCGACATTGAATGCCACAAGCTGTAAAAATTCACCTTCAAACTGCTGAAGCCTTTGCAGTAAAAGTTATGAAATTTTAGCTGTATGTACGAAAGCTTCTCAAACATTCTCTTGTTCTTCTATGACCATCCACAAAACATGGAGTCAACATAATTCAGCCACACAATGTCTCTACTAACTTCTTCATGTTTTATATTCATCCGATTTAGCGTTTTTATAATTTTCATGTTTCTGGTTTACTTCTGACTTGCCACTACATGGATTCGTGTAAACCATTTTTAAATGTGTGTTGGTCTAATTCACTTCTGTTGACAACATCGTAGTAATGGAATGCCATTAGATTATATTGAGAGTATGGTAATGGAACAACTGCAGTCGGTTTAAAAAAGTACTTCTAGCTTTATATGTAGGTAAATATTTGATGTATCTCGTTGTAGTGATTTTCAGCCAATTACTTCCAACTTTCTAAAAACGACGACCTAGAAATCTTGCAAGGCGTGTATCAACCCCCACTGACCTCACTATTGATTTTCACTTCTTTTGTTTATGTCATTCTGATGCTAATTTGGTCTGCATGACTAACGTTAACTGTTCGATAAAACTGTGTTCATTTATATGTGAGTGCTGGGTCGATTTTTCAATTATTTTCTCATTCGTATGTTTCAGTTGCTCGCCAATTGTACGATCGACACTTTAAAGCAGTGTGCTAAACGTCTTGTGGAACAAGCACGAAGCGCAGCATTCGCTCCTGATTTCGTTTCTCCGTTCGCCAGTGAAGCACGTCGTTATGGTATCAACATAGCAGGTGAAGTTTTTCTTTTTCATTTTATCAGTTTTCATGACCACTATTTACCTGTTATTTGTCAGGGTATGGATTTAAACAAACAAATATTAGAATTGAACAATTCTCTGTATTGTCAGCTTTTATCTGGTGAACTGTGCAAGTCGACCACCGAGCAGGTTTAGATAACAGTTTAATCACTGAGGTTTGTTGTAACCTATCAAAAGAACAAGTAATACGCAAATATTCGTTTATCGTTAACCTTGGTAACTAATTAGGTGATTATGCAGGTTTCCTTTCACTTGGAGTTGCCACCTTCTCATCAAGAATTGGAATATACTAAAGAAGGCTAGCTATCCTGGAAAGTCTACTTACTAACCTTTACTTCTAAACAATGACGTATTTTTGATTGAGGAGGAATAGATTTACTGCAAGTATATCGAGTGGTTAAAACACTCACTAAATTGAGGCTGTTTCTAAGGAACTGAAATCATGTAAGTAATCACTGTGAAATAAAAAATAGTGGACAGTTGTTTCGTCTTAATTTAGGAATTCTCAATACTATACACCAACACCCTATTTGTTGGTTTGAAAAACTGACGATAGAAAAGCTTTTCAGAATGAAATGGTTACGTTACTGGAGATGTTAGTTTCTAAAAAGAAATGCTTTGTTGATATCACATTTGACTGTGGCTAGCAGTACTGTCTTATCCTCAGAAACCGTCCCATAGCACGAATAAATTGCGACAGTAACAACCTTTTTATCTTATTACTTTCCAAAAAACTGTTCATTTGATCAGTGTTGAGCGTGTGTTTCGCTCAAGGATGTTATTCTAGTGTTTGGTTTAAGTTTGATTCTATTGATGTTGAACACATTGCAGTTCAGTGCCCCATTTGTTCTTCTCAATTACCTTATTCCACACGTCTCACTTATTTAGGAATAAAGGTTTCATGTCTCTCTTAGGTATGTTCAATAATTTGACCTCAGTGTTAAACTGATGCTCTTACATCATCTCTTGGAAATGGTGAACTTGATCTCTTTGTTAATAGTTGTGTATCACTTGAGTTTGATATAGTCTGTTGGTTGTTAGGCTAGACATGACCCAGTTTCAGTTATATAGAGCCTTTGTTTTTCTCCGGAATTCATATAGATGTTTTGGCTGTATAAATTTATGCTGATATTTTTATCACATTACTTTTTATTTCTGTTTTTGTTCATTTTTTAATAGGTGGCGTTCCAGGTGATATAACTGTCATTTTAGGATTAATTATTGAAGAGAAGTCATCACCATCCTTAGCAAATGACGATTTATGCGGAGTTAGTCGCCATATCCAAAAGTCACAATCCTCGTTGAAACCTCATTTGATCGCTAAACCAACTCGTAGTGTATCGTGTTCGAAATTAAACTGTGATAAATTGTATCCATTCTCTTCTTCTTCTTCACCTCTCCCATCTGCTTCACGTTCTCTTCAGTTACCTCGAAATAGTTCATGTATTTGATGCTTTATGTTTCCTTACGTAGAAAGTAATGTAATAGTCCACTTTTCAGGTATTCATCCAACTTGTTTATAACTATCACTTGTATATCTTCGAATATCCATTCTATATAATAGTGCTGTAAGTGTTAATAGTTAGAAGAGAATCGACTTTTTATCATTTGACCGTATACGCTTTCACTGTTTTGCACTCCTACGCCTTTCATACAGAAACTGTATCTCCATTATTTCTTGTCAGAGGAAAACAAACAAAGAACCGGTCTTCTTCCCGGTCTCGTGAACTTTTAAAAATTATTTTAATCTTCGAAATGAAATCCTGTTCGTGAAAGAAATGTAAACGTAATATTATAAAACAAGCCGGTAAATTGGAGTAGTGCCATGACTACTAAAGTTGTAGTAACTATTTCTTGTTGTAGTTTTCTTTTCCTCACCAGTTTCTTTCCAATATTTTGCGTCCAAAACCACTTTCTTATTGTAAATAATGCACACACATACAATACACATGTCTATATAGACAAAAATGTAAGCAGACGTTTTATCTTTACTTGGTTGGTTATGGCTAGCAGGAGAATCCAAGACGTGCGTTTCGTCCTATTTGATACTTGTCAGCTGGATATACCTGCACCCCAGTGATTAACATTGTTCACACTGACAGTCGGACCTCGTACCCGTCGCTTCAAACGCGAAGGCGTTATCCACTAGGTCACGCATGTCAATAAATAGTAATAGACTTTTTATCGTTTTAATTGCTACTGATGAAAATGACAGTTGCTTTGTTACGACAGAAAAGGGGGGCAGTAGTCTGTATTGACTTAGATTGTAAGTAGTGCTTTGTCAACATTGATACGATGTGTTGGGAACATTGACTAGGTAATTTGTGGACAATATTTGGAATCCAACTTGAAGTGAGAAGTTATGATGGTGTATGTGGTGAGGATGTTGAGAGGTATTCAACCTGTTATGTTTATTGTGTTTAGATTGGTGTAAACTTATAGTGACCCGATCAAAATAGAAGTATGAAATAAATTTGACTAGAATGCATTAATTACGACTGTTACGCTTGCACATCAGCTTCAAGTCTATGATGAATTTACTTTCCAAGGTATCAGAAAAAAAGGTGGAAACTTTGTTTCATAAAGCTACCTGTATAGTTTTCCTTCGAAGGCAACATGACTGATAAAATGAAATTGGTACATTTTTGTTCTAAGTAGTTCTTAACTAAATAGCATACTAATAGTGCCAACATATAAGATCAGACCAATGGCGACAAGGTAATTCAGCGGTAAGTATGGAACAGACGCGACTTGTGCAATGTAGATTCCCAGTAGGTAAGAGTGGGTAGTTATTTGCTGAAGACTTGGTTTCCTCGATATGCATTTCTGACTGAATAATACATTTTTTAATTACCTATGTTAAATATATATATATATATATATATATATATATATATATATATATATATATATATATATACTTAGCTTTCTGGTGATTGGCGTCATTTGTCTCCCAGTTTCATGTGACTCTTTGATAAGCCAAAAAAAACAGTGTGATGAGTTGAACATTCAGTTTTTACGTTACAAATAAAATTTAGTATAAATGTAGGATTTAGTACTATGGTAGAGTATAATTACATTCCAGTTGGTTTATTAAATGTAACATTCAGTGGAAAATTTTTTACTATTGGATAAGTTTTCGTATATTTCACTGTTCATAGTCATATAGAGAGAAATCAACCCTAGGATCTGGTTTTTAGGCTTACAGTCGTTTCCATTTTGGTGTTTTCTGAGATAATTGCTGAGTCGTTTCTGTTGCATTTTTTGGTATTGATTCCTTAAACAAAACGCAGTTATTACAACAATCCTTCATTTGAAGTTTGTCCATTCATTGAGACATTAACAGAGACTTAAGAAGCTGTATTTTTGGCTGCTACTACTTCATAGATTAATAACTGGATGGGGGCAATCGATAGGAAGAGTTGGCTTCATACTTCTTGACACTCGTCATGATGGCGTATCTGCTACCTTCAGGGTACTAGTGTCCAGCTTGAGATTCGAACCCGCGTTACCCAGTGTTCCATTTAGAGACTTTACCACTGAGTTATTCGAGCCTCCTGTTATTGATCAATGCCACTGATTATTAACCTGGGAAAGCTTCCAGTTGGTAGCTAAATAGTTTATGGTATCATTGTCAGTATTCTTCTGGTTGTGTTAACTAGTCTTGTAGAATAAGAGATCGATTCATGCTTACTAGAATTTTTAATCATCAAAGTTACTTCCTAACTTTTCAGTATGTGAAAGCAATAATAGGTGTTATCTATGTGTGTTCAACGTGATAATCAGTCATAAAATTGATATTGTTTTTGTTACTTTTCTTATGCCTCGTGATGAGATTAAAAGCAGTGAAATTTCTGATAGATGAATTATCTCCGATTTGTATGTTAAAATGAGATCCTCCGTGATCGATATTGTTTTACAAATGGTGCCTTTTTTAAATTAAATAAATAAGCGCGGAAATTAGGGGACTCTTTTCTGTATTTCACGAAATTCTGTGCAAAATTTTACTAGGTGGTTTTCGTCACCGTACGCTAACAGATGAAGCTAACAAGTCCTGAGTGTAGAACATTGAACAGTAAATCTCTCAATCAACCGTCCGTGTTCGTTGGTTGAAAGCAGTTGGCAGGAGGCCCTTGATCTAGGTTTCATGCCTGTTGGCACTCGTCAGTAAGGCGTATCTGCAACCTAATGCTCGTGGATGACTATGGACATGAATTCAATCTCGAAAATGTAGTGATCGTAAACCGAGGAAGCACAAAAGAAACGGGATTCCTTGAAGCTTGGCATAGAGGCCAGTCAGCAATCAATAAATATATTTACTCAGACTAAGTTTACCAACCAACAGGAAGAATGATGAAGAACTACAAGGCTAAAGGTCAAACAGAGAAAAAGCCTGCAGGAAAATTTATACAGTTAGCGACACAACAATTAAAGGAAACAACGCATCACAAACGATTTCTTCATGACAACATGCTGAAACATTCACAGAGGAATGCTAATATCTCATATCATATTGAAGTTAGTATTGACGATATTGTCTAAAAAGACAATGAAAGCTTCATCCAGCGGAGCGAACATAACACAAACATGAATCACCTTATGTCTAGTGGGACTTCTGAATCCATGTCACTGAAATGAGACTCGAATTTGCTAGTTAGAAAGTCTTAGCGCTTAGATGGCTAGTAAACATATTGGATTTTAATTTCTTGGGATATCTTTCACATATTTTGAAATGCAGATTATGTTAGAAGAGAGTACAAGGTTTATCATGGAGGAATGTTGGAAGTTGTATGATGGTTATTCAGCTAGCGTGCTGGAGATGGACTGAATCACTTATTGCTGCTTTCTATTTTGCTTTAGTTCTTACGTTTTTAAGAAGTGCTTTTTGCTTCAAGTAAGCTCGAGTTATAACTTCAAATTTTAGGGACTTGAGCTTCATATTTTGTTCCAGCTGTAGAAAATTTATAAATTGACAATATGGTTGTCAAACGTTAAGTGTAATCAGTTAGATGCTTACGAAAAACCATCAAAGAATATTAGGTTGAAAACAACTGGAAAGAGTGCAGGGAAATCGACTGTTTGTTTTTTGTAGCTAAGATGACGGTCATAATCTCCAACATACGTAAGTGGAAAACATCCTTATCACACCTAATGACCACAGTTTACGTAATTGATAGAATCATCTGATTGTCGACTTCACTTCCAGCATCTTCGTTTACACTCTTAAGCAATATAAGTTCAGTTATATCTGTGACAGAGTATAAGTTATGAAGTCGCCTATAAGCCTAACTGATCAATATTACAAAAAACGTGATAGATATCTGAACGGTCTTACCAATTTACTTCAGTCTTCCAGTGTACAGTAGTCTAGATGATTTACCAAATATTGTTTTTGAATTTTTTCCTTGTCAACCTTTTGAAACAAGCAACAATGACAACTAGGTCATTACATATATACCTTTCACAAACAGAAAAGCCTGCTGCTGAATAACAGGGTTGAGTTATGTCAGAAAAAGCGTTTAAACCAGTTTCCGGTCATAGAAAGAGAATACACCATCATACGCAGGGTAGCGAAAGTAATAAGTATAGAATTTAGCAACGTGAATATTGTGAATTAAGATGGTTGTGTCCACTAATAGAAGTAAAGAAAGGTATAAAATAGAATACTATCTTAGGAATAAAATCCACATTAACGTCAGAATACAGTACTATTGTATAGTGCTCACTAGTGGGATGCTTCAAGGTGGATATCCTGAAGTTCTAGTGAGAAGCTGTGACCTGTGGGGTCAACCAGTCTTAAGGGAAGCGGATGCAAAGTGAAGAACTTGGGTGATAGTTGCACTATATCGCAAAGTAAGAAACTGTGGATTATTGAATTACAACCCAGTGGTTAAGTGTTTACCGCGTACACCGGAAAACCTGAGAGCTCCGAGTTCGATACCTAGTTTGGTCGTAGACATGCGCTGCTGGAGAGCCCCATAATTTGGCGAAGCAGATGTCTAGTGCTCTAATGTTTTCAATGGTTCTTCAACTGTTATCAACTCGCTATTAATGTTTCCTTAACAAGAGAAAAGGCTGATATTTAAAGTGATTGTGCGGAAAAGTTTAATCATTATGAATACAGAAAAGCGGAGATGAAGGAGTTAAGCTCATTGCAGGACAAGTGATTGAATCGGTTTCTAATAAACATAGAGATCACGTTGGAAAAGATGAAGTATCATAGCCTATGTTGTGAAGTAAGATGCAGAATCTGATTCAGTTTAGATGGTTTTTCTTGTATTTGTACATAACTTAGAAAGTAAACACTTGTTGAATGAGATGATCAGAAGTAAATTTCGAACTAAGAAGAAACAGAAGAAAGATATTCAAGAGAATAATTATTCATTGTATTACTCATATCTCATACACTTTTAATCATAAACTATTCAGATGTTGACTTTTTTGGAGAAGTTATCTCATTCTGTTTTTCATGCCTCCTGAAGATAATTTTATCAAACATAGATTTTCTCAAGTAATAATTAGTTTATTTTGCTTTGTATCACATGAAGATCTCTACAATCTGCAAAGCGTTTTTACTGAACTAATCAATAATAGATAAAAGCTATGTGCAGTTATTATCAGCTGTCAGTAGTACTGAATACCGTTTTCATTTATTTATTTCGATATTAACAAAACAAATGATTGTTCGTTTGTTCCATTTTAAATGATAATTAACTGGTTGCTACTTTTTATATGTAATGTGAATAAATTCTGCACCATCTTCACTTGCATCCTTTTTTCGGGTAATCTGAATGTAGTGGATCAGCAACGTTTGAAGGGCTAAGAATACATCAGGGTATTTGACTTGGAGTCAAAAGTGCATCCACATTAATACGCGGTAGCTTGGATGATTATTTCCTAAAGGTGAATCGGATATACCAGTTTTTTTTATGTCACAGATTCCTAGGTTTCTTTGTATCTACACTTTCTTCTT